GCTCTGCCGCCTCGGCACCGACTACATCCGCTTCGCCGAGTTCGTGGAGCAGTACACGGGACACGTGCAGCAGCAGGTACGCGGAGCCGCCGCTCCGCGGTGTTTGCCGAGCAGAGCGCCGCGGGTGCCGGTCCGGCCGAGCCGCCAGGGATGCGCGGGCGGCCTGCTGCCCCCACCCGCGCTTGGACAAACGCGGATGCCCGAGCAGAGCTCCGGAAAGCTCTGTGCCTGCAAATACGAGAGGACACAGAACAGCGGAAGAGGGACCCAACGTTCCTGGGGAAGCATGCTGTAATAATGTCTGGTCACTGCAGAGTGGCCAGGGCTTGTGAACTGTACGGGATGCTCATCCCTGTGTTGTAGTGAGTCCTCCTCATGGTTTGTGAGGAGCTTTGAGACCCAAGAGGCATGCAGAAGTACAAAGAGGTGCTGAAGTTACCAGTGGTTCCCAGCACTTGCATATATCCACAGAAGAGCTAAATATAACTCTGCTCAAGTAGCTCTCCTTGTGACAAACTTTTTTTTTTTTTTCCTGGGTGCTTTCTGGTGGGCTGAGGTGCATTTCAACATGTCTGGACCACTGGATGCTGGTGGATCGTTGCACAAAAACTGCATTACTCTTTAGATGTGCATTGGGGAGCTGATGGAGATTTTATTGTTTCGTTTCAGGACCATCATCCACCTCAGCAAAACCAGAGTGGATTACATGGCATTTATTTGCGAGCCTTCTGCACAGGTCTTGATTCAGTGCTGCAGCCATATCGACAGGCACTACTTGACCTAGAACAAGAGGTAAAGGAGAGAGACTTGGAACAAAAGGCTGTCCTGCTGCTGACAGATTGTGGAAAGTTGTAATTTCTGCAATTAATATGCTAAAAGTAGTAGTAGTTAAAGAGGAGACAAGGTATTTTCCTTTCCACATCAGGGATGTTTTCCAAATTGTTCCTGTGAGGTGCCATTGTAAATGATTCTTCATTCTAATAATTATTAAGTCCCCTCTACCTCCAGTTCAGTAAGTGCCCCATTTGCCTCAGAGCCCAGTACTATCTCAGTTTATTGTGATTTCTGTTTTCAGTTGTAAAGGTTTTGATTAATCTCCACTAGATTAGCAGCTGTCATATCTTGGGTACTGTCACCATCCAGTGGTTGTTACAGCCTAAAATGGGACATAGCCCAAAAATATGAGAGGGGGGGAAAAACAAAGCTGTGGGAACTAAAGATTTGAAATAGAGAGCCAAATGTGCTTTTTTGCTTATCCATACCTTATTTTAATTTTCTTTAATTGCTTTGTTCTTACAGTTTCTGGCTGACCCACATCTTTCCATCTCACATGTTAATTATTCCTTGGACCAGGTATGTCTTGTTAATAAACAGGTAGTGCTCTTCGGGTACTCTTATCACTCCTGAAGTCTAATAAGAAAGTGGGTGGGATAAATAAGGGTTAGTCTGTCATGTTGTGCCATATCTTTTTAATAACTCTATATTTGCAGTCCCTTAATCATGCTCAGAGAATCACTTGCACTTTGACACAAAGCTTAGGTTCTCCATCTTGACCCTTGTATGTTCCTCACTGCCTGTGTTTAGCCTGAACTGCAGCTGCAATATAGTAACTTCATGCACCTTGGTCCATTGGAGGAAGGACATTGTTCCTAGAGATTCTCATGTCATGTTTCTCATTTGTGGGGAAAGACAGATGATAGTTTCATTAAATTATTGTGATCAGATGCTGTCCACACTTACTCAAGTATAGTTTTTCTTTCTCCCTTGCACAGCAACCTAATTCAATATTTTGCTCCTTGTTCTGCAGTTTCAGTTACTCTTCCCCTCTGTGATGGTTATGGTGGAACAGATCAAGACTCAGAAGGTATAGTAAAATTGAACTAGCTTCTCTTAACAAGTTTCTTCTTTAGCTGATAAAGTCCTTTTTGCCCTCCCCTCAGACCTTTAATACTAGGAAAGAATGGTGTCAGTAGTGGGTGCCCTATTCCTAGTACTATTGTAAGTATTGAATAACTTGTGCAAAGCCATTTACACTGGATTTGACTTTTTCATTATCAGTATGATCTTTGATGACTTGCATTTTATAATCACAAGCATTGCATAGCACAAGATGCTGCCGGTTGGAGTTTCTTCTTTTCTGAGTCTGTTTTCTCCCAGTGTCACCTGAAAAAAATAAAAAGGCAGAAGCTAATGTTTTCAGAATCCAGAGGTGCTTAATTTTTGTTAAAGGAAATTTTTGCAAGAAGCTTGGGTCTAGAGCCCCACATGTAGAAGGCCTCTTTCTTCACTACATGGAGTATGTTGCATCTTTCTTTCTGTAAGACTTGTGCAGCTTGTGAAAGCATTTTCTTGTTAGCCAAAAGCATAGTGTTTAAATGTCTGAATAGGTCAGTACAGATCCAAATTGCAGACCTAGTCTGACCATGTTTTCTTTCTGCAGATTCATGGATGTCAGATATTGGAGACAGTCCACAAACATAGCTGTGGGGGGTTGCCTCCTGTTCGGAGTGCTCTTGAAAAGTATGTAGCTACAGTAAAGCTATTGTTTCATTCTTCTGTAGTAACTGGAGTTAGTGTCAAAGTGTTTATCTTACTTCTGAAAACAGTACCTGCAAAACAGGCTGGCATAATATAAAAGCAGGAGTAGCATGCAGGGAAAACTCATGGTCCTCATAATTTATCTAAAGCAGGATTGTGGCAGGAATTATGGCTTTCTCCATACTTGGGACTTAGAGCAGAGGAAAGTTCAGACCCTATGTTTTTTATTCTTTTGAGGTCTACATGAACTGTTTTGCATAAGGTAGACCTTTTATTGTTTTTGATCCTTCAAAAGGATAAATGCGGCTAGGTGAGGGTTGCTAGGTTTGTATGTCCTTGGGGAGACAGTCAGACTACTTCAAAGATAATTTTTGTTCATACTGAAATGGTAATTGGGTAGAAACAGCAGGACTGGGAAGCCACTGCAAACTTACTTACACTTCTGTTGTACTAGCAGATCTCCGTGGAGAAGCCACATATTCAGAGGATATGTTCGTTTAGTTTTGCAGGTGATCAGTCGGCCTTTCTCTGTTTAAAAAAAATAAAAAATGCCACATTAGCCATTTAGCACTTGCCATATTGCCTGGCTGACTGACTTTGCAGAATGATGTACAGTCAGGTTTTGGTTACTGTGTGACAAGGCCCCACTGTCTGCTTCTCTTGACTTCAGGATCCTGGCTGTGTGTCATGGAGTCATGTATAAGCAGCTGTCAGCCTGGATGCTGCATGGATTGCTACTAGACCAACATGAAGAGTTCTTTATCAAACAGGGCCCCTCCTCTGGGAATGTCCCTAGCCAACCTGAAGAAGATGACGACGACCTAGGAATCGGGGGACTTACAGGAAAACAGCTACGAGAACTGCAAGACCTGGTAAGACTGGAAGTCATAGTGTGGCATCCTCCAGTCCTTATGGAACTGAAAAAGAAATACATTGTCTTCTGCTTCAGTGCAAGCACTACTAGACTGGACATACACTGAGACGTGGTAGGATGGCAAATCAACAGGATATTGTAATAGGTTGCAGCTAGGCATAAAGGATAGAGACATACCATTTGGCACAGTTGGATAATCTCGGGGCAGAATGCTCTGTGGATAGAATCTGTATAGATGATGATGTCAGGTAATTGGAACTGCAGTGCTCACCTTGCTCTTGACTGACTCCTGATTCCTTCTGGTCAACACTGTGATCTGCTCAACATAGGCACTGGTGATCATGTGAGCAATTGCAAGGGAAAGGGTGTGGGGAGCTTGGGTGTTGATTTGCATCCTTTCTACTGGCAGCTGGGTCAGACAGCCTTTCTTGCACAACCGTTTGTGGTGCAAATGTTACCTAAGAGGGTAATAATACTGAGTTACTGGGGAAAAATGTGCTATGTGAGAGTCAAGAGGCTGCTAAGAACATGTCCAGGGTGCCAAGTTAAGCAAGGGAGCAACCTGCCAGTATCCTGGTGGAATGCAGTAACTCCTTATGTAGATGGCATACCATTAGAACGCCCTTGTGCAAAGCAGTTTTCTCAATGGAGTAATCTTCCATGCTTTGTATATCTGAATAGTGTCTGCATCAGGGATCAATGAGGAGCAACTGCAACTCTGTAAATTCATACTCTAGTTTACTGTGACTGTGTTAGTGCATGCATGCAACTTGTCTGTAAACACACCGAAGATTCACCCCTGAAATGCCCTGCATTGCGTACTAATTAAATGCCTGGTACGGGCAAAAATCAAGAGAAAACTGTAAAAGACAGTTAGTTAAAAATCTATTATTTCACTATATTGGATATAAGGAGAATGTGAAAATGGGTGAGTCTTCTAGATCCATGGTGGAAAACAGAAGCATTAGGAAGATGACACCAAGAGAGCCTAATTAACCCTCTTCTTCAGTATTATTGACTAACAGTGTTGGCAATTCTTCAGTCAGAGTAAAATAAGAAATCCTGAGTGTTGATGGGATAGACCAATAAAATATTTGGTTGTTACCTCATCTAAAAGTGTCAGAAGAATGTTAAGAGAAGAATTGCCAAGCTGTTAACATAAATATACAAACTCATACTTAACTCTCCTATCAAAATGAAGAATTTTGTAGATGGCAAATGTTCTCAAAAATTTGTTAGCACAGTGTTTTTTGGATTACGGACTAACTAACCTAAGTCTCCAATAACAAGAAAGCCAAATGAAATAACCAGTATTGCTTCTCTGAAGGAAAATCTTGCCTCTGTACTTTGAGTTCTTTATTAATACATTCACAAAAAAGTTAGTAACTTACTGTATTTTTTTAAACACGTTGCACAGGAACTGAGAAAATTGCCTAATTTACGCTAGCAAGCCTTCAGATCTTGAACCTATTTGCTCCCTAGGGGAGGTATTTACATTTGTCCCAAATCATGAGTGTTCTAGCAGCATTAAAACATATAGGAATGGGTATAGGGGAGGATTATTTTTTGGTAATGCTTATTAACATTGTTATGGCTGCAAAAAACCTAATGTAATGCAGTTGCAGCAAAAATTCCTTTTGCTGATGTAACATTATCCTTTGGGAGAGCCAATTTGCTGCTGTCCCACAAAGGTTTAGCTTCTCCTTTTCCTGCTTCTGCTCCCCTCTCTGATGAAAGCAATGTCTTCTCTGGGGAGATCTGCTAGCATACCCAGCAGTATAAAAAAGTTTGCAGGCTTACTTAAATTATGCAAATCAGGGTTACTACCTTTCTACTTACTTCCAGTGTACTTGGAGTCCTCCTCCCTCCTGCACCCCACCTCTTTACACACCTTTTCTATCTGGTTTTCTCACACTTTTTTTTTTGCTTGATTTCTTATCCCTGACAGCGCTTGATTGAGGAGGAGAACATGTTAGCTCCATCTCTAAAACAGTTTTCTCTGCGAGTAGAAATGCTGCCTTCATACATTCCTGTGCGGGTTGCTGAGAAAATCCTCTTTGTGGGAGAATCTGTACAGATGTTTGAGAATCAAAATGTTAACCTGACCAGAAAAGGTAAGGAACACCTTTCTTGCAGCCTTTGCTCAGTTATGAGCGACTGACAAGTATCTTCCAAAATGCCGTATTAACAAATTCCTGAAACAGTCGCTGACTATTGGTTGATACCCTTCAGAACATATGGATGGTTGTGCCAGGACAGAGTAGTGGTCCCAGTGTTCTGCTTCTGATTGATTCTAAGGGAGTGGTATAAGAACAGGATGAGTAAACAGTAACACTTTCCTAACATAGTCTCCAAGTTCCCAGTAACAAGTCACCAAGTGACTTGGTCTGGATAAATAAAGTGATTGCAAAGGTTGTGTTTTTTCTTTTCAGTTTGCATCCTTGTTCCTGAAGGATGCAGACAGACACAAGGTCACATCTTGTTCTGAGTGTCTATGTTGCAGAATGGTGTCATGGGATTAAAATGCGTCCACAAACATAAGAAATTCATTGCAAGGTGGTCCCAAAGATTGCTGTGGAAGACAGATGATCATGACAGAACGTTTAAGAGAGACAATTCCAGTTGATGGTTCTCTTCGAGAGCCTGATAAGTTTACACTGGAGATGGTTTTGGAAATATATTCCTACACCAATTGGGGGGGAATGCTGTGGAGGCTCTATCTTGAGCTTGTCTATGCAGAAGTACTCAAATGACTTAAGTGATGTTGCAGAGAACAAAGGACCAATTAAATTGGACTGTTTTCTTGCCTTAGGAAAAGCAAGGTGAAAAGAAATTGGTCTTCTAGCTTAGTTAGTAAAAAAAAAAAATAAAAAAATCCCTAGGTTCAGAGATTAGGATAGATTTGAAATGGACAGGGATAGGTGGAGAACCAAACCAACTGGTTAATGTGGCAGAAATGTTGTGGGTTCAAAGAGCTAGCTCAGTCCTAGGAAAGGGGCTGTTAGTAGCAAGCATTTACATAGAAAATATTTTGGATTTTTACTAATCCACAGCACTGCATGTCAGGGGGCCTACAGGAAGGCTGGGAAGGGACTGTGGACAAGGGCAGGGAGTGGCAGAACAAGGGGTGATGGCTTGAAACTGGAAGAGGGGAGATGGAGATGAGATCTGAGGAAGAAATTCTTTGCTGTGGAGGTGGTGAGACACTGGTCCAGGTTGCCCAGAGAAGCTGTGGCTGCTCCTCCCTGGAAGTGTTGAAGGCCAGGCTGGATGAGGCTTTGAGCAACCTGGTCTAGTGGAAGGTGTCCCTGCTGCTGGCAGGGGGGTTGGAACTGGATGAGCTTTAAGGTCCTTTCCAACCCAGAGCAGTCTGTGATTCTATTAAGTGTCTGTTACTGTAACTGTTCTTGCAATAGTAGTCTTGTACCTTGGTACTTGTACTTTGAGGCCTCCTCAACTTTATGGTCCTTGCCAGACCTGAGATGGTGCTGCCTGGACAGCCTTTCTGCCCCAGTGTGCTGGAAGGGGTCTGCACTCCAAATGGTATTCCTTTTTGTTGTCCAAAACATTTTTCTCATTGCTGCTCAGGCTCCATACTAAAAAACCAGGAGGACACATTTGCAGCAGAGCTGCATCGACTCAAACAGCAACCGCTTTTTAGTTTGGTGGACTTTGAATCAGTGGTTGACTGGATACGGAGCACTGTTGCTGAGGTAAGGATCCTAGGAAGGATAACTACTATACAGGCCGAGGAGCTCTTCAGTCTTGTGAATGACTGGGAAAAGAAGGAGGCTCTTTAGAATCAGTGATTTAACAAGTGTGTGAATGCTGCAGGTAGCTTTCATGTTCTT